TGAAGTCCTGGGAAAAACAAAGGCTGAGACAGTTCCAGTGGGTGTCACGTGGATGGCAACTGCTGGGGCTGTTCCCATCCTGCTGAGTCCTGAGGTTGAGTCAGAGCCCACAGGAAGAGAAGGGGCAGGAATATTGGCCCATCAGTTGTGTGTCTGCAGCACTGGGATTCGGGCTGCAGGATTTACTTACTCTCTGTTTTCCTGTGCAGAAGGGAGGATTGATTCTCTCTTTCCCTGAGCTGGAACTAGAGGCAAGTCCTGCTGTCCAGCTCCCAGGTGAAGAGCTTGTTTGGTGTCATGGAGAAGCAGCCCCCAAGCCACTGGAGCCTCCCTGGAGCCTGATTCTAGAGGATACATGCACTAGGGGGGCTGGAGCAACTTGAATCTGCTCCAGGGATATGCCTGGACCATCCTCTTTCCTGCTGGGCAGCAGCCCAGGCTCTGCTTGGCCCCTCACCATTAATGAGTGCTCTGCCCTGGGGGCTCTCCCTGGGCTCCCACACTGCTGTGGTGGGATGAGAGCCCATTTTCCTGGGAGCAGGAACATTGTACCTCCCCTGGTGCCTCGTCATCGCTGCCTCTGAGGGGGGACTGTAGTGAGACCCTGAGAGAAGCAGAGGCTGAGATGCCTCCAAATGGTGGAATCCCCATCCCTGGAAGTGGATGTGGCACTTGAGGACATGGTTTAGTGGTGAACAGGGTGGTGGTGCTGGTTGATGGTTGGACTTAGTGATCTTGCAGGTCTTCCAGCCTTAATAGTTCCGTGACCCTGTGATTCTGTGAAATCTAAGGACCTACAGAGACTTGTCCTGATTTAACAGTAACTGTGACCTTTGTAGAGAGTTTTACATTCCCATGGTCATCTTTCCGTTATCCTCATGTTTCCATGATTTTCAGTCTCCAGTCCAGATGGGAATCACAGAGTCATTAAGGCTGGAAAAGACTTCCAAGATCATCGTCCAATCTTTGACCAATCACCACCATGTCCACTAGACCAGAGCTCTGAGGGACCCCCGGTCCCCTTCCTGCCCAGCTGAGAGATATAAACCTTCCTCTTCCTCGCAGTGGATGAAGCAGCTCAGGTGAGGAAGTATTGGGGGGCACATCCAAAAGTGTCAGGAATAGACAGGATGGGAAGAGAGAGTTGAAACAGTTTTGCATGAGACTGAGCAACACAAGAGCAAATGGTGAGCTGTGAAGGGCCTGGAGGGGCCACCAGAGGAGCAGCTGAGGGTACTTGGTCTGTTCAGCTGGAGAAGGGGAGACCCAGGGCAGAGCTCAGCAGGGTCTGCAGCTTCTTCATGAGGGGCAGCTCCATCTCTGCTCTGTGTGACCAGGGACAGCAGCCAGGGAATGGCTGGAGCTGTGTCAGGGCAGGCTCAGGTTGGATCTCAGCAAAAGGTTCTTTCCCCAGAGGCTGGTTGGGCACTGCCCAGGCTCCCCAGGGCAGTGGGCACAGCCCCAAGGCTGCCAGAGCTCCAGGAGGGTTTGGACAACACTCTCAGGGACAGGGTTGGGGTGTCTGTGCAGGGCCAGGAGTTGGACTGGATGGTCCTTGTGCATCCCTTCCAACCCAGGAGATCCTATGATTCTGTGATTCTAAGTGCAAGGCTCACACCACGACCTGATAAAAGACACTCAGGCTGGTCAGGAGAACACTCTGCCTGGTGTCCAGCCCCCTCTGCAGCCCCTGTGCCACTGGAAAGGTTTCTGAATAAAGCAAATGAGTTACTCAGTTGTGACAGAGCTTTTAGAGAACATGACACATCCTGCCCCCCATCTCTGCAAGTCCCTCTGTTTCTCTTTCTGGGTGATTTTTAGACCTTTTCTAAAATCCCCAGGGATGAGCCAGTTCTTCCCAGTCATTCATGGGCCAGATGAATGACTGGAAAATGGGAGGATTCAAAAGTCCTTTGAATAGAGTTCAGAGCTGTCTGAAATCAGGATATTTTTCAAGGCTTAGAGGGAGAGAGCAAAGAAAGCTCACCCCAGGCTTGCAGAATTCAGCAAAGAGTGTGGGATGGGAGCCCTGTGAGCAAGGCAGGGCCTGGGCAATCCCTGCCATGCACAGGAACAATTGCAAAACCCCAAGCAGGGCAGGGGGAGGAGCAGCTCTGCTGTGCTGAAGGCAGGAGCTGCTGCTCAGGCAAGGTACCCCTGGGCTTAATGGGAATTCTTTGCCTTAAATCTTTGTGCTGCTGCCACTTCACTCGTTTAAGCAGCAAAAAAACCACTTTAGGAGTCCCATTGTTGCTGCCTGCAGCCAGCACAGCAGCCCAGGAAGGGCAGAAGGCAGCATTCCCTGCTGGGCAGAGGAGCAGGGGAAGGAGCACACTCTGCTGGGACTTCTGGTCCTGTGGACACCCAAATGCTTCAGAAAACTGGGTTAATTACAGCAGAAATTATCATAGAGTCACCGAATTATTTGGGTTGGAAGGGACCTTAAAGATCATCTCTTCCCACCCCCTGCCATGGGCAGGGACACCTTCCACCAGCCCAGGTTGCTCCAAGCCCTGTCCAGCCTGGCCTTGGACACTTCCAGGGATCCAGGGGCAGCCACAGCTTCTCTGGGCAACCTGTGCCAGGGCCTTATGACCCTCACAGCCAAGAATTTCTTCCCAATATCCCATCTAACCCTGCCCTCTGGCAGTGGGAAGCCATTTCTCCTGTCCTGTCCCTCCATGTCCTTGTGAGAAGTCCTTCTCCAGTCTTCTCGTAGGCCCCCTTTAGGTACTGGAATGATGTCTGGGAAGCACCAGGATTGAAAATAAAGCTGCATTTGGGGGTTTGCTCTGGTGGGAATGTGCAGTGCAGCTTCCCAGCTTTGTGTTTGAAATTCCTTTTCACTCCCTGAACATTCTACAGGATGTGTGGCCTGGAGAAATGGGGACAAACCCGAGCCATGGAGCACCAGTGAGTGTGGTGGGGTTTGCAGGGAATGCTCCCATGGCTCAAGGGCATTTTTTGACAATCTGTATTTCATTTGAAAGTGGCTCTGCAGCTGTGACAACTCACTCATATGCTGAACAAATCTGGAGCTGACACTTGGACCACATGTTGTGCTCTGACCACACTGAGGATTGAAAGAGGGCTGAGAGAGAAACCTGACTGCAAGAAACTGGACTCTGTAGCACTTGAAAACCCAAATGTAAAGGTGAAGGATTTGTGGACAATATGACCAACAGCATAGAGGAGTTTATAAGAGGTAATCTGGGATCTCTTGGAAACAAGAGCAGTCCTACCTTTAGTATCAGGCTCCTGACTGGTGGAACTGGTTAAACTGGTGCTCAGGGACACTCAGAATGTTTGATAAATCTGCTCTTTTTGGTACTCTGCAGTCTTGGCCTGACCCTGCAGATGAGAGGGTCACCCTGGTGAACAACCAGTCACTGGTCCTGCCCTGCTCCTGATGCTCCCCCAGGACAGAAATACCCCCCGACCCCTCACCTTGGCACCTATTTGGCATTTGGAACTGGGTTTTCTGCTGAAGACTCTCCCCTGCCTTAACCCCCCAGGTGCGGTGACCTCACCTGGCCTGGAGTGACCTGCACTGATTTATCCTGGCTTGGTTTACCAAAGCCATGCAAGTCCAGGAGCCCTTTGGCTCAGGGATATCTGTGGGATGGTGAATCCATGGACACATCCCCTTTGCATCACAACAAGCAGATCATAACATGCAGAGGGTGGGGGTAGATGGGACACCAAGTGTCCCAAGCCCTCATACTCTGAGCTGGAGGGGCAAGAACCCCCACTCTGCAGAGGTTTTATTTTGAGAGCTGTCTGTAGCTGTAACCACCACAAAATACCAAGCACTGATCCCCTCAGCAGCTCCCTGTTCCCAGCACAAAGCCCTTCCACTCTGCAGCTCCCTGTTTCCCTGTGGAAGCAGAGGAGATGCTCTGCTCCCAGCCCTGTGGATTCCCAGTGCACAGGGTTTGTGGCAGTGCAGGGATCACTGGCATTTAGGAGGTGCTGACTCCTCTTTCTTGCCTTGGCAAGAGCCAGAGCAGCACCACTGAACACGCCCTGCATGTCATCCTGCCCCTGTGCTCCATGTTCTTCCCAAGGAACCCAGTTCTTCCCTCCAGCTGGTGAGTCTCGGAACTTGCCTCTGGGAAAGTGTCCCTGGGTTTGCTTTTCTCCTCTTCCCTTACCCCTGAAGGCAGTTCCTCACCCAAGGCCACGGGAGTGGCGGCCCCCAGTCCCCCCCTGCCACTGTGACATCAGACTTTGGGGTACAAAGATCCACGTGGAGTCTGTGAGGAGCTCACTGTCCACCTTTACACTCCCAGAGAATCCACAGGGGATGGATTCTTTTTAAGAACTTTTAAACTGTGTAAAAAAAAAATAAAATAAAGAAACCCAACAGAGCAGGAACCTAAATTCTGATGCCCAATGTAAAAGTGAGATTTGGTGGTTCTCAGAGTGACACTGAGGGGTTTGTGGGGAAGGGTGGTCAGAGATGGGTTCTCTTGTTGGCATTTGTTGGCCTATGTGTGGATGGATCAGAGGCCACGCTACAAATTCTTCAGAGCTTCACATCTGGGATAACCCAAAGCTCTTTTCTGGAAAAAAAAATGCTCCAAGGACCTTTGCTGCTCTCCCTGTGCCTGGGAAACATTTAGCAAACATGCTTGGATTTGAAACTTCCCCATTCTGTTTTTATTAATTCTCCCTTTGCAATAATCCTCAATATGCTTTGCTTCCACTCAACGAGCAAGAGGGGAGCAGTGCCTCAGTTAATTTAACTCCTACAAATTCCCATCTCTGCTGGGGAGAGATTGTGCTTCCTAGCAGATAAAGCAGCTTCTTCATATTTCAAAAGGTTACAGATTAGATCTGCTTACTGCTGTACTTTTATTAAAATTTCTATTTACATTTTTTTTCCCGTTGATACAATTACAGAAAAGGCAGAAGGAAAACGTTCCATTTGGAGAGATCCCTGAACACTGAAATATCCTGTGGAGTACATGGATGTGGCAGGAGAGCCCTGTTTCCTGCACCTGCAGATGGGCAGGAGGAGCTGCCTGTCCTCCTCCTCCTCCTCCTCCTCCTCCTGCACCACGTGCTGAGCACTCAGAAGTAGCACAGAGTGTGACCGAATTTCTCCTGGAGCAAAACAGGAGTTGCCTCTGAACAAGAAGGCTCCAGGGTGACCTTATTAAGGCCTTCCAGTGCATAAAGAGGCTCCAAGAAAGCTGGAGAGGGACTTGGGACGAGGGCCTGGAGGGACAGGGCAAGGAGGAATGGCCTTAATCTGAGGAAATGTGGATTTAGATGAAATATTGGGAAGAAATTCTTCCCTGTGAGGGTGGGGAGGCCCTGGCACAGGTTGCCCAGAGAAGCTGTGGCTGCCCCATCCCTGGAAGTGTCCAAGGCCAGGTTGGAGGGAACTTGGAGCAACCTGGGCTGGAGGAAGGTGTCCCTGCCCATGGCAGGGGGTGGGACTGGATGAGCTTTAGGGTCCCTTCCAACCCAAACCATTTTGTGATTCATTGAAAAGGTCCCTGGAGGACTTTTTCTTGTTTGTTTTATCCCAGATGTGAAGCTGAGAAGAATTTGCAGCTTGGCCTCTGAAACCCTGTGGTTTTCCTGGGGGTGTAAAGGTGGACAATGAGTCCTTGGTGTTCTCCCTCATTTGAGGAGAGAGCCCACAGCCCTTCCCATTCCCTGTTTGTTTGTGCCTTGGGGGTGGAGATGCTGCTTCCAGGTTCTGCTGTGACATAGGGGGGAGTGAGGGTGGGGTGACAGAAACCACCTGGTAGCCAGTGACTCACCTAGCTCTTCATGGTTGTTTGTTCCAAGAGGGGGTCAACAGCCTCAGGGTGACAGAGACTGAGACTGCAGGGAAAGCATTTGGGAGAAGAGGTTTCTTCTCCCCACAGGCCTCCCCTGGGGTGTTACACAGAACTCTGCTTGTCCCCTTGGCCTCTTCAGGCAGAACCCACACAGTGGGACAGGGGGAATTTGCTTTTGGTGCTGTTTGTCCATCCCATGTGTCCTCACACTCAGCTGGAATGTTTTGAGCTGCATGGAAGCCATAAAATCATAGAATATCCTGAGTTGGATGGACCCCAGAAGGATCCAGGGAGGTAGGGCTGGATTTTATCCTGGTGAACATGAGGGTGGGCTACAGCTCCACAGCCTTCACCCTATAATTATCCTTGGTACCTCTGGAGCAGCTTCCTGAGGGAATCGATCAGTGGAGATCATTTTGTGTCTCATCAAATGTGCTCTGGGAAGGAGAGCAACGTGTGACGAAGAGCAGACTGTGCTTGGGACACTGTCACTGCACTGAGGACAGGAACAAAAAAGAACAACATGTTAAATTGACTCTAGGGGAGATATTTAGGTTGTTAGAACTGTAATTACCTGTGCTGGAGTCCAGCCAAGACTCCAAGTTTAACACCCCTGCTCAGATGAACCTTGTGGAACTGGAGTATGAAATCACAGAAGAACCCCCTGTTCTCCTTTGTAGGGTTTCAGAGGCATTTGCTGCAATTTGGTTGCTCAGAAAAGGGGTCAAGATGTCTTCCCAGTGCTCCTGGTTTTTATCAGAAGCAAAGAAGCCCTTTTCTGTCTGGAAGGGAAAGATCTGAGTTCTTAGGAGCAGCAGAAACTTTCCAAGGTATTTTGATGTTTCCTAAAAAAAGTGAGAGGAGGTGGATTTGTGGAAGCTTTGCCTGTCCCACCTGGTACTGCAGATTTCTCCAGAGACACTTGTCTGTGAGTGAAGATGGGAAAAACTGAGCTGGAAAATGCAGCTGTGTGAAAGCTGGAGTAAACCAGGAATGCTGTGTGGAAGTTAGAGGGGCTTTGCTGAGTCTTCACAGCTGCAAATGAGAGTTGATGAGAGTTAAAAATCATGGAATTTTAGATTTGGAATGGAAAAGGTTTAGATTAGATGTTAGGAAGAAATTCTTCCCTGTGAGGGTGGTGAAGGGCTGGAATGGATTTTCCAGAGCAGCTGTGGCTGCCCCATCCCTGGAAGTGCCCAAGCCCAGGTTGGACAGGGCTTGGAGCAACCTGGGCTAGTGGAAGGTGTCTCTGCCCATGGCAGGGGGTGGAATTGGGCCTGCTGAGTCTCCAGCTGATGTTCTGGAAAGAACCTGCTGTCAGTGAGGAGCGAGATCCCACTCCTGACCCTCCAAGAGCAGCACACAGCCCTTCTTCCCTCCTTCACCCCGTGGGGATGCAGCCAGCCAGGACCAATCCTATCTATTAGGAGAAAAGTGGGTTCTTTGCACAGAAATTTTCCAAGGTATCCTGACTTTGCTCTGTAATGCAAAGCCATCAGGAAAACAAAATTGCCTGAGCATGGCAGGCTCCAAAGAGGAGCAGATATTGAACACTGCGTTGGTGGGGAACTGTTGCCACAAGAAATACAGACAGGTTTAAAAGGCTGTCAGACAAATCCACTCAGGATAACACCTCCAGGGCTATTAGGCACTAATGCAGCTCCCGTCTGAGGAGATCTCTGAAGCTCAGCCTGCCTGATGCCTGGAGGCACATGAGGAGCTGTGTAGTCCTGCTTTCCTTCTTCTCTTTCCCTAAGAACTGCAGCTGGATTATCCAGGCACATCCCTGGCTAGTTTGCTGAGCCCATGGCCCTTCAATGTGTCCATCCTCCTCTCTGCCAGGGGATTTTGTGCTCAAGAGGTAGCTGAGCACATTCAGAGGCTTTGCAGGCTTTCTGTGGAGTGTCTTTTCCTCCTGTGACATGAAGGCACATTCGGGTTTTGACGGGAATGGGAACCACCTGAGAATCGTGTTGGGACTTCCCCCCAGAGCTGGAGATCCTCCCCCTGGAATCACTCAGGTGCCCCCAGCCCTTTCCACCTGGCTCTGGTGCCAGCTCAGTTCCTCTGGGCAGCCTCTGTGCTCTCCTGGCCCTGCCCTCCCCTCTCCCAGCAGCTGTTCACTGAAAGCCAGACCTGCAGAGAGCAAATGATCCCTGGGTGCTCCCGGCCCCAACCACCTTAATTAAGCCCTTTGGAGAGAATTTCCTCAGGCTATTGGTTCTCCTTAATGAGACCTGACAAGGGGCTGGGGAGAACAGGCCATTACACAGGATGTTCCCACTCAAACCCTGGCTGTGGCCCAGCTGGGGGAACCTTTGCACCTCAGGTGACAGTGCCAGACAAAGCCAGGCCTGACAAAACCCCTGTCACAGGACAGATCAGCTCAAAGGCTTGTTCATCTCAAGGCTTCACCATTGGTTTCCACTCTTTGCTGCCGTAATAAAAGCTTTGACCTCTGCTGACAAACATTTTTTTTTTCTGGAACTAACAGCAAAACTACTCAGGCCAAAGTGGGATGAGGCCGTTGCTGGGCCCTGCCCACTCCTCGTGTTTGTAACAAGCAGAGACTGTTGGTAAATGTTATAAAACACAAAAGCCATTGGAGTAAATCTGCACTGGGATGGAGTGATCAGCTGTGGGACGAGTTCCAGGGACAAAATGCCATCAGCACAGGCAATGTGTTTCTCCTCTTCTCGGAAGAGCAAGCACAGAGCTCCCTCCCCACCCCCTGAAAATAACCAGCCAGATTTTTCCTGATGCACAACCAATAGGTCTTTTCTAGCTTTACCAACCCCAAGATAATGATGGGCTCTGGATCCTCATTTTTCTCCAGCAAAACAAAAAAATATACATATTTAAAGTTCTGCTTTAAACTCCCAAGATACTCTTTTTCCTTCACCCTTTCCCCCTCAGCCCCAGTCTCACACTGGGTCATCCTCTATCCGCCTGCAGTTATTTCTCTATTTATGTTTTAAGGAGATGCATTATATTTTCAGGGATTCTCCGGGGCACAGGAGAGGTGGTAATTTGATTTATGAAATTCATTTGCTGGATGTTGCGTGCCAGCAGCTCAGGCCCCACTCTGTGTCACAGCTGCTGTCCCTGTGGGCTGGAGCAGGGCTGAGGGACACGTGGAGAGGGGCAGGGGTCTGCCAGCACATCCACACGTGCTGGGCCCAGTTCCCCCAGTGCACTTCCCAGCAGAGATACTGGTTTAAGCTCTGCTTCAACAGAGGCAGGTTTGGGTGAAGGGAAAGAGCTCAGAGTGGGCAAGAAGAGTCTCCCCACCCCAGAGGAGACAACACTGAGGGACAAACCCCTCTTTCCTCACTGGGAGATGTCTCTGCCCTCCTTAGGGCACAATTGCAGCAGCCAAGCTCTTGCTGGGGGAGCCTCCACAGGAACAGTGTCCACACATTGCTGCTGGTGCTGGCCAAGGCTGAGGTTGTGATGATCCACCTCTGAGGAGCTGCATTAGATTATGACTGGGCAAAGTTCAGTTGAAGAAAAACCAGGTGTCACTGAGGACCCTCCAGCCCATGCCCAGGTACCTGGGACTCCTGTAAACATCTCCTGGAAGTGGCAAGCCAAGAGCTCCAGCTCCTGCTCCTGCAGCTGTGCTCCCTCCTCCCAGAAGAGAGGAGTGTCCTGGGACAGGCTGAGGAACAGCAACACACTCAGGTAACACAAGAATATTGCTGGAGCAACCTGTGCAAGGACAGGACGGGCTGAGCAGCTGGGAAACACCTGGATCCTGGAGCAGGGAGCTGGAGACATGCTTTAGTATCTCCAGCTCTGGCTGAACACAGCACAAAACACCTCGATCTTGCAAGGAGTGCATCCAGCCACTGCATCTTGAGAGGCTGGGAAAGCTGGGGCTCTCCAGCCTGGAGAACAGAAGATTGTGTGGAGACCTCAAAGCACCTTTCAGGATCTTGAGTGGCCTCTAAGGAAGCCAGAGAGGGACCCTGGAGTGACAGGACAATAAGGAATGGATACAAACTGAAAGAGGGGAAATTTAAGTTAGATATACAGAAGAAATTGTTCCCTGTGAGGGTGGGGAGGCCCTGGCACAGGTTGCCCAGAGAAACTGTGGCTGCCCCATCCCTGGAAGTGTCCAAGGCCAGGTTGGACGGGGCTTGGAGCAACCTGGGCTGGTGGAAGGTGTCCCTGCCCATGGCAGGGAGTGGAAAGAGATGATCTTTAAGGTCCCTTCCAACCCCAACCAGTCTGTGATTCCAGGATTCCCCACTTGTCCAGAGGACGGTCTGCCTTGTGAGGATGAGCCCCTGAGTGTCTCTGACCAGACAGTGCTGAGCAAGGGAGAACCTGGACAGGAAGGGCTGTGGGAGGGATGGGTGATTCCTCTCAGTGTCTTCTGGTCTTCTAAGATGCAGAGCCAAAGCTCAGGTGGTAACTCGTGGGTACCCGCCCAGTGGCATTTACTCCTCACTGAGCTCCCTCACATAGAAACACCCTGACATCTCCTAGCTCCCAGCCAGGCCAGCTTTGAGCTCCTCCACGGCACCAGACAGTCACACACTCCTTCCTCGTGGGCACCTGGAATGTTTCAGTCAGTGCCACCCATCAGAGGTTGGGTGAGCCTTTGGGCTCAGTGCTTTGTAGGATGGTGTCTTGGTTTTGGTGAAACCAAAACAGATGGTCACAGGGAAGATCCCCTTGTGCCTGGGGACAAAGTGGCTTTGGGACAGTGAGGGACAAGGCTGCTGAGCTGGATGGAGCTGTCCCTCCCTGTCCAGCCCGTGGTGGCCTTAGGGCTCTGTCCCCAGGAGCTCCCCACACCCTCCCTGCCCTCAGTACAAACCCTGTGCAGCTTGGAGGCCTCGATATTTATACATTAATTAGTCCTTGCCGTTATTATTTGCTTATCAGCTCTTTATTAGACACACACAGATCGGGCCCCTCGACACCTGCTTTGTTCTTTTGTGAGATTAGATCACCGTGTTTGTTCCCTTGTTTACAGACTGTTGTAATCCCGATTGCTTCACTTAAGTGTTTAATGAAGGTATTTGCTCTAAATTGTTTGCTGGGATTTTCTTCTACAGTTGAGGGATAAGAAGAGTCTGGAGCATGTTATTTCATTGCAATGATTTATACTAATTGATATTTTACATCAAATGGAGGAGACTTAACTGGCCTAAATAGTTGTTACCTCTGAGTCAGTGGCTTTTCTTGCAGGAATGAAGCTGATGGATTTTGTTTCAGACACCGCTGGGGAAGCTTTGTGCTCAAGCAGCAAATCCTCAGTGCAGCCACAACAACAGGCACAACAGAGATGGAAACGAGCCTTTACCCACCTCCCACGGCCTGCACGGGGCAGGGTAAATGCCCAAGAGCTCTTTGGCACAATCCATCCACGTTGTCATTCACAGCACTCGGAAAAGCTGATGCCACCCTGTGCGGAGGTGTTTGGCAGCTGGAGTGGCACTGATCTCATCCGTGTGCACTGACGGGCCAGCTCTGCCCTCGGTGTCCCCGAGCCAACGGCCCGTGTGACAGTGGAGCTCCAGGCAGCTGCACAAACAGCCAGTGCTTTGCCCTCAGCACGACCTGCACCCTCCTCACGCTGCAAACCAGGGTCCCCACCCGTGGGGGACACCCCGGGCCCTCGGCAGGAGGGGGGAGGGAGAACACTGTGTGTCTGCCTGGCCCCAGCTCCACACCAGAGCAGTGCCCTGCCAGCTCTGGACTGGCACTCACACGGTGCCCGAGCTGTGGGAGACCCCTCAGAGAACCACCAGACTGGAGGGGACAGCAGCTCCCTCCTGGCTCCCAGCAGCTGTGACAAGGTCACTGTCCCTAGTGATGATGTACCATAGTTCAGGAGTCCTCAGTAAAATGTAACAGAAGGTAAATTACACACAGGGGAAAAAGGATCACCCCCCTGGTCCTTTGGGTTCCAGAACAAAGCCAAGCAGT